TGCGAAGAATTTTTTTACTTTTGAAAATAATTGCATTTCTGCAATTATTTGTAACTTTTTGAAAATTCAATTTTTTTACTGTGTTTAACTAAAATTCTTCTATAAATTCTTTAGTTTTAATAAAAAATTAAATATATATTAAAAAATGTAACTAATTTCAGAAGAATTTGAATTTTTAAATTTTTTCAAAAATCCAAGTTCTTTCTAATTAAATTCATTCGAAATTGAAATTTTCTAAAATTTCAAATTAAAACCTTTTGATGTTCATCTATTTATGAAAGTTGTAAACGCAATTCTTTTAAAATTCAATTATTTTTGAAGTATTTAAGTAAAATTATTCATTTAATAATTTCTAAATTCTAACTAATAATTTTGTGATAATTATTTATTCTTGAAAAATTACTCTCTGAATTTAAGGTAGTAAAAATGTTTACAAAAAATCGATTGATTTGAATGAATACAAAATAAAAAAGTAAATTGATGAATACAAAAGTCATTGATGTTTTCCTTTTTTAAATTAGTCAGTTTTACAAATAAATAGTAATTTCTGGTAATTTATTATTAGCTAAAGTAGTTAAGTAGTTAGAGTTATTAGCAAAATTTATTTTTTGCTTTTGAATCAGTAAATTTTACTAATAAATTGTAATTTCTACTAATTTATTAATAAAACTTACTAATTCATTTAAGCAAAAAGTCATTTACTAATTTAATTTAGTAAAAATTTTTACAAATTCAAATTTAGAGAGTATGTTATTTGAAAAGAAATGATTGGTAGAAATAGAAAAATAATTGAAGGTTTTGTATTAGAATTCGTGGTAATTTCATAATTTATCAGGCAATCGAAAAAGACAGAGAAAAATTCAGAATTTTCTCATGAATTTTAAAAATTTAATTTTTTCCAGTACTTTTATTAAAAAAATTCCTGTCCTTTCCAGGTTTTTTCAAGGTTTATAAAATTTCCTGACATTTCTAATTTTTTTTTTCTAAAACATTTTTATTATTATTTTTTTCTTTTTTTTTCTCTTTGTGAAGGAGTGCACATATTAAAAGTATAAATAAATGTAAGGAATCTTTAGTTGTGTGTATATAATTGAAGGGCGTTTTGAGTACTGTAATCGTTTACTGGACACGGTTGGCAATCGAGATTACTTGGAGAGGATAAAATTATTCTAGTCGTGTCGCGCGGCGTCACCCTCGCACAAGTTTACACACGTAAATGCGTGTAGAGTATATATAGAGAAAAGCTGTTGGAACGACTTGTCCCAAGGGCCAACTGTAGCAACCCCCAACCCCTCGCAATTTTATGCCCCCTATCTAACCCTGCATTAGCTTTATATCCCCCCTCCCCTTCCCTTTTCCCCACTCCCCTAGGTACCACAAGTCACATTTACATTTTAAATTACAACCAGGTTCTATTCTCTTTCTCTCTTATTAACAAAGATTTCCTTAAATTTTTTTTTTTGGCAAATCGATATTTATATATCACATTACAGTGAGTTCATTATTATTATCTGTTCATTTATTTTTTAATCTCTTTAAAATTTATATGTTTATTATTATTTACTTTCTTCCTTATTTTTCTGCAATTTTTTCTTTTTTGAATAAATTCATTCAAGTTTTGAATTGAATTTTTTTTTAATCTTAATTCCTACGAAGAAATAATAATTATTAAATATTAATATTTAATAATTATTATTTATAAATGAATTTATAAATTTATAATTTATAATTTATAATTTATAAATAATAATTATTAAATATTACCTAATATTTAATAATTATTATTTTCTTAAAGGAATTAAGATTTAAAAAGGTTTAAATTCAAAACTTTTCGAAATTTAACAACTTTAACAACTTTAAATTCTTCAATATTAAATATATTAGAAAATAAAAATTTAAATTATTAAACTTTTTTAAAAAAAATTAATTCTCAAGAATTGAGTAGCTGCATGCAACAACTCGCCGAGCGCTGAATGTTCATCCGAGCGCTCGGCGAGTTGTTGCACGCAGCTACTCAATTGTTAGTTAGTATTAAAAATAAAATTTTCAAAGATTTTTATTTAAAACCCTTTTCAAAATTCAATTATTTCAATTATTATTATTATTTTCAATTATTTTAATTTTTTTTCTCAAAATTTACGCTATAATACCTATATTCAATTATTATCTAAAATGTTAACTGAAATTTATTTATAAATCAATTTTTTTATAGAAAATTCTACTAGAATTCAATTATTTAATTTAAATACATTAGTCAATAATTTATTAAGTAATTGAATGTTTCTTAAAATTGAATATTCTGTTTAAGAATTTAGTCAATAAATTTTTAAATAATTGAATTAGTTTGACGAATTTTAATAAAATTCTTAAAAATATTTACATTTTTCTTGCAACGAATTTTAATGACTTTTTTAAAATAAATTAAATTCTAGTGAAAAAATTTAATATATTTTTAAAACTAATTGAATATTCTTTAGAAGGATTTTGTAAAATTTTTTGGAAATAATTGAATTTTTTTGAATTATTTTATGAAAATTTAAAAGAATAATTCAATTATTTCGAATAATTTAATAAAAATTTTATTATTTATGAAAATAATTGAATCCCTGTAAAAAATTGTATGATTTATGAAAATAATTGAATTAATTATTTAAAATTGCCAGTTAAAAGTTATAGTAAATTCAAATTTTCAAATATTTTAATTCGAAACCTTTTCAAAATTATTCAAATATTCAAATACAAAAGAAAATTTTGAACATAATTGAATTTCTGCAAATATTTGTAACTTCTCCAAAATTCAATTTTTTAATTGTTTTATAATTATTTTTATATTTACTATAATTTTATTTCTTAAATATTTTATGAAAATTTAAAAGAATAATTCAATTATTTCGAATAATTTAATAAAAATTTTATTATTTATGAAAATAATTGAATTTTTTCAACGAATTTTAATGCATTTTTTTAAAATAATTGAATTTCAGAGAAAAATTTAAAAATTTGTAAAAATAATCTTGAGCAGGATTTTGTTAAATTTTTTGTTCTTGCAATAAATTTTATTATTTATAAAAATATATAAATGTTTGCGTAAAATTTTTTTTAATTTTTTTTTTTAAATTGAATTCTTTTGGAAAATAATTGTATTAAAATAGTAGATATTGAAAATTAGTGAATTAAGAAAAATTTTTTTAAATAATTGAAATTTTGTCAAGAATTTTATTAAAATTTTTGAAAATAATTGAATTCTCATAAAGAATTTTATCAACAAATTTTTTAATAATTAAATTCTTTTGATGAATTTTAATAAAATTTTTAAAAATAATTACATTTTTTGAGAAATTTGATTTAAATTGTATTAGCTAAATATAATTGAAATTCTGCGATGAATATTATTATTAATTTGAAAGGAAAATTGAATTTCTATAAAGAATTTTATTATTTACAAAAAATAATTGACACCCTGTAAAAAATTGTATTATTTATGAAAATAATTGAATATTGAGAAGAATGTTATAATAAATTTGTAAATAATTGAATTCCGATGAAAATTTTATTATTTATGAAAATAGTTAAATGTTTGCGTAGAATTTTATTAACATTTTTTTTTTAAATATTTGAATTTTTTTGGAAAATTTTTTTAAAATACTTAAAATTTTGCTTTGAATTTTATTAATATTTTCGAAAATAATTGAATGTCGGAGAAGAATTTTTTTTACTTTTGAAAATAATTGAATTTCTGCAATTGTTTGTAACTTTACAAAAATTCAATTTTTTTTTGTGTTTTTAACACTAATTCTTCTATAAATCCATTATTTTTAATAATTAATTAAATATTTATTAAAAAATTTAACCAATTTTTGAAGAAATTTGAATTATTAAAATTATGTTTGAAAATTTAAGTTCTTTCAAATTTCTAATAAAGTTCATTATTGATAATTGAAATTTTTGAAAATTTAAAATTAAAACCATTTTTTTTCCTTTCATTTTGTTTTTTAGGTTTATCGTTTTATTTCCTTGTTTAAAAGAAACATTTTTTTGAATAATATGTTAAAAATAAAAAAGCGCAGCACAAAAGGACCTTGTTAAAATATACACTTTTTTTGTCTTCATTAGAATATCAATTTTTTTTTTGCATATTTTTTATTTTTTTTTTCAACGGAAAAATACACATATACCTATGTACTTAAAGCTTTAGCTCCGGAAAAAAACCAATATTGGAAAATTTGTTTTACATCAATTTACTGTTTGTATAGTTATGTATCGAAACTAATGTTTTTTTTTGCCAAATTGAACCATGAACAAAAAACATCATGTTAATTAAAATTTTATTATTTTCCTCAACAATTTTTTGTTATTATTTTTATTTCAAATAGTGCTTTTAAATTGTCGTTTTTTTTTTGTAAAAGGAAAAAAATTAACGCTTTCAATTTTTAAAGCTAAAGTGAATTTACGAATAATATTTGCAATAACTGAAGTTGTAAAAACGAAAAGAAAATATCTAAATGAAAATATTCCATTAATGTGTCAAATTAAATTCTCAATATTGCGCCACTAGGCGAGCAACCCATCGTACGTAGATGTAATTTTATTTTCCATCTCTTTGAAAATTTACGGATCAGATAAAAATAATAATTAAATATTTACTTTATATTTAATAAATGGTGAAGTTTTTTTTCGCGTTGTGATAGTGAAAAAAAATTTATTTGATTGAAATACTTTGATTCAAATTTATCAAATAAATATTCACTTAAATCAAATAATTTTTATTTAAATCAAATAAATTTGAATCAATAATTATATTTGAACCAATAATTTCATTATTTGAAGCAAATGCCATTTAATTTGGCTCACATAAAAATTATTTGATTCAAGTGAATATTTATTTGATAAATTTGAATCAAAGTATTTCAATCAAATAAATTTTTTTCAGGAATAATAATTATTAAAAAAAAAATTGAATTTTTTCTTGGTAGGAAACTAAATGAAAAAATGCAATAATATTTATTGATATAGTTGATTATATTATATGTATTTTTTTTTTTTTTTTTTTTTTTTTGAGGGTAAATTTAATGTAAAAATTGTAGTCTTGGAATTTCACAAAAGAAGGCAAATGGTACATCACAAGAGACATCGTCGAGAGATCCGTCTTTCATAAAGACACCACAATTCTGTTTTCCCCCACCATTGTCGGGCTGTCCACCCCATTCATTGCTCCAGCGAGTGTAGCCAGACTTTGAGAGTGAATCGCCCAGAACATTCACCCATTCTCCCTCCTTATATAAATCGTGAATTCCCAAGAATGCCACATTGTCATAGGACGCATTCTTTATTGGTTCGGATTTATTGAATAAGTCCATCAATACCTGTCAATGTCAAATTTTTTTATTATTTTCTTAAATCCAAACTATTATTTTTTTGTGAATCCAAATAATTTTAAAAAAATTTTTTTTTTCAAATTTATACTATTTACTATTTTGTATTTTTTTTTTTTTTTTTTGTCAAATCCAAACTGCAGACTTTGAACTTAATATAGTTGGTTTTTAAAAAAAAGCAAAAAGTAGCTATAAAACTAAAAAATTAATAAAAAAAAAAGTTGTTATCGAAAAATCAAACTTCATCATTAAAAAGGTTGTATTACTCGATTTACAAAAATCATAAAAATTTTATTTTCTCTATATTAATAATTCAAGTATTTATTACCTACAATTCATTTTTTGAAATTTTTTGAAATTCACACTTTTAAATCAATTCTTATCGAAATTCAACTACGAGAATTCAATTGTTTTAATATAAACATAAATAATTGATTACTATTTAGAATTGACTGCTTATAAAGAATTTTATCAACATTTTTTTAAAAATAATTACATTTTTAAAGGATTTCTTTTCAATTTTTATTTTAAAATAATTGAAATCAGGCAAAGAATTGAATTATTTTTGAAAATAATTTAATTCCTCTCAAGAATTTTATTATTTATAAAAAATAATTGAATGCTTGAAATCTTTTAGTCGAATCTAATTGAAATTGAATCGAAAATAATTCAATTCTTATTAAAAATTTTTCTAAGTTATTAGAAATAATGTTATTTTTTTAAAAAACTTTTATTAAAATTCTATTAAAAGTAATTGAATTTCCGTGGGGAATTTTATTATTTATAAAAAATACTCGAACTGGTGGGAAGAATTTTATTAAAATTTTGGAAAATAATTTAATTTTTTTTAAGGATATTATAAAAATTTATGAATAATTGAATTTCTCTGAAAAAATTTATTATTTGTAAAAATATTGAATTCTTGTGTAGAATTTTATTAAAGTTTCTTGAAATAATTGAAATTTTTGAAAATAATTGAATTGTTTTGAAGAAATTTATCGAAATTCATGAAAATAATTGAAGTCTTGCGAATAATTTTTCTTAAATATAACTACAAAATAATTTAATTCATCTGAAGAATTTTATTATATTTATGAAAATAATTAATTTTCTTTGAAAAGTTTTATTATTTGCAAAAATAATTGAATGTTTAGAAAAATGTTATAAAAAATTTGTAAATAATTGAATTCCAGTGAAATTTTTATTATTTATGAAAATAATTGAAACCTTGCGAATAATTTTTCTTAAATATAAATTCAAAATAATTTAATTCATCTCAAGAATTTTATTATTTATGAAAATAATTCAGTTTCTTTGAAGAATTTTATTATTTGCGCAAAAATAATTGAATTTCTTTAAAAAATTCTATTATTTGTAAAAATAACTTAATTCTTGAGAATTATATTAAAGTTTCTTGAAATAATTGAATTTTTTGAATCATTGCATTAAGATTCAAAATAATTTAATTCATCTGCAGAATTATATTATTTATGAAAATACTTGAATTTCCTTAAAAAAAATTTATTATTTGCAAAAAAAATTGAATTCTTGTGTAGAATTTCATTAAAGTTTCTTGAAATAATAATTAAAATTTTTGAAAATATTTGAATTGCTTTGAAGAATTTTATGGTAATTTATGAAAATACTTGAATTTCCTTAAAAAAAATTTATTATTTGCAAAAAAAATTGAATTCTTGTGTAGAATTTTATTAAAGTTTATTGAAATAATTGAAATTTTTCATAATAATTGAATTTCTTTGAGAAATGTTATAATTTGTAAAAAAAAAATTGAATTCTCGTGTAGAATTTTATTAAAGTTTCTTGAAATAATTAAAATTTTTTTTTTTTTATTTATTTTTTGTTACATCCAAACAGTTTTTTTTATTTATTTGTTTTTGTTATCATAACTATGTTTTTTTTTTGTGAAATTCAAAATATTATTTTTTTAGGCCAAACAGAAGAATCAAAAAATCTTTTATTTATACTATTTTTTTTTTTGTTGAATCCAAACTATTTCTTTTATTTTTTTAAAATGAAAACTATATTTTTGCTGAATTCAAACTATTTTTTTTCTATGAATTTTTGTTTATTATATCTTTTGGCAATTTTTATTTATTCTTTTATTAATTATTATTATCAAATTTTTTTTTACCAACCATTTGGGGGAATTTTGATTTGAAATTATAAAGACAAAATATTTACTCTCTTTTGAATTAGTAAAAATATTTACTAATTTGAATTGGTGGATGACTTTTTCCTTTTGAATTAGTAAATTTTACTACGAAATAGTAACTTACACGGAGAAAAATATAAAGTAACTTTTATTACTTTTATGGTAAAACATTTCTGGTAACTTTTACTAATTTCGTAGTAAATTTTTCTACGTTCAAAGTAAATTTTACTACGTTCAAAAAACATATTTGTAAAAAATTAGTAAAATTTACTTCGAACGTAGCAAAATTTACTCCGAAAGTAATAAAAGTTTACCAGAAATGTTTTACTATAAAAATAGTAGAAGTTACTTTATATTTTTCTCCGTGTAGTAAATAGTAAATAATAATAAATATAGTAGTAAAATTTATTAATTCAAAAGCAAAATGTCAGTCACTAATTCCAATTAATGAACATTTTTACTAAATTTTTTTTTGTCCTACCTGCACGGAAAGTATGTCATTTCGGGCACTTAGAGCGGGCGCAAAGTAACTCATCATTACCACCCAGGGGTAGGGGAAGCGGGCGCAAAATATTTTGCGCCCGCTCACCAACCTCCGAGCGGGCGCAAAATATTTTGCGCCCGCTTCCCCTACCTTCGAGCAGGCGGAAGAGTATTTTGCGCCCGCATGTTAATTATTCGATTTTCTTCATTAAAATGTGATATTTTCGAGTTTCTTTTTATGTTGACTATAAAAATGCAGAACTTTTTGAACTTGTTTTATTTTGTCTAGAAAAATGTGCAATTTTTTTCGATTTTCTCTAAAAAAAAATTATGACACATTTGATTTTGTTCACATTTCAGTTATAAAAATTGGCAATTACTATATTTCCAGAATACATTGTTTTCTTATTTCTATATTAAAACTTCTATCATTATAGACTTCAAAGAGTTAACATTTATATAGAGTTTAATTTTTAACTAATATGAGCGTTTAATTGTTCGTGCCCTCAATGACATACTTTCCATGCAGTTAGGACAAAAAATTATGTTAGCATCATGGGCGCAAAGGTGATTACGACTCTGGCGAAATCACCTATTTTGCGCCCTTGATACGAAAATAACTATTTTTTTTTTCTTTGACGAAATTGTGTTTAAAATAAAAAAAACACTTACTTCGGCTTCTCTCTTCGAATTGATAATTGCCAAATGTCCACCCTCGTCATTGCACGTCTTCCTGGCCTCGTTCCAAGTTGCGGCTCTCGTATGAAGTTTGTGTGCTCCAATACCTTCACTCAAATGATAATCATCCCTCAAATTTGCACTTCTGAATCCGAGATTACAAACACAAGGCATTCCGTGGACAATAGTCGTGTGCATATTTTGCAAATCGAAAAACGACGGCGGCCTCATTACTTGTACATGTTCGGCCGAATTATCGTGAATTGATTTTTCATTTCTCGAATTAAATCCCGTTGTCGCTGTTCCTGTTGCTGTTGTCGATGTTGTTGTCGTGGAAGCAATCGTTGGACTCGATTCCATTGTATTTCCCCTCACAAGCCAAATTTGAATCAACACCGTGAGAAGAAAGTGGAAAAACATTTTTTTTTCCTTTTTTCCCTCAAAAAAAAAAAAATATTGTTGTTAAAAAAATACTTTTTTTCCCCTTTTTCGATAAAAATACCTTTTTTTTTTTACTAAATAAGAGAAATTAAAGTTTTTTTTTCTTTGATTTTTAAGGAGAATTTTGAAAGAGAAGCTCCTCGCCTTTACGGAGTCTGAGAATTACTGACGGACCATCTGCTTTTTGCAGTGAATAGATTTCCGTTTCTCATCGGTACCGAGTCGAAATTCGACCCCTGGGACCAATTCAAGAGTCAGGCCATGTTTTTTAGAATATAATGAATATGCGAGCCACATGGGATTTCAAGGCCTCTTTTCTTATTACTCCCTTCCTCGTTAAATTTAGAATTTGCCAAATATATTTTAATGTTTATTTTTCATCCTCTTCTTCTTCTTCTTAAAATCTTCGCCTTTTACAGAAATTAGAAATTTTCTACAAAATTTAATTCTTCCACAATGAAAATCAAAAATAAAAAAAATATTGAATAAAAGAAACAATATTTTATAAAATTGTTTTGTTTTACAACGAATTATTTCAACTTTCCGTTTTTAAAAAAAAATGTTTTTCATACACATTTTTGAGAATGGTTTTTTTAAAATGGTTATTTGAAAATGGTTATTTGAAAATTCAATAAATTGTTTTAAAACAATATAAATATAGATTATTTAAACTTTATCTCAATATTTTTGTAGAAAATTTTCATAAGGATATAATTTACATAATTTCTATTTCTTAATTACAATTTCAAAAATCTTAAAAAAAGGTAAAAAAATGCTTATATAAATTCTATTTGTAAATTACAAGTTTTAATTGAAAATGAACATGAAACTTTTTAAATTTTTAGAAAATAAAGGAAATAATTTTACTCAAAAAAATGTTCTGCTACATTTTTACGAATTTTTTTAATTGTAAAAATATTCGAAAACATCAATAACTTCTTTTTTAAATAAATATTTAATTATTATTAATTTTCCACAGAAAGTAAGTCATTCAAAAATTTCAAATTCAAACCTTTTTGAAATTAAACAACATATAAAAGTATTGTTATAAAACAAGAAGATATCAATTTTATAATTTCAATTATTTACGAAAAATAACATTACAATATTTATAAATAAGTAATTCTTAGAATTGTTTTATCATAATTTTTTAACATTCAATTACCTTCGAACAAAGTAAATTAAAATTTTTTTAAATTTACTTTTTTACACTTATTAAAATTTCGGATTTTACCAAATATTTCAATTATTATTCAAAGATTTACTAAACTTTAATTATTTTTAAAAGAATTTACCAAATTTTAATTATTTTTTAAAAGATTTTACCAAATTTCAATTATTTTTAAAAGAATTTACAAAATTTTAATTATTTTTCCCACAGATTTACCATATTTCAATTACTTTTGAAAACATTTTACTGAATTTCAATTATTATTCAAAGATTTACCAACTTTCAATTATTATTGAATTGAATTGATTTAAAAAGTTTCAATTATTATTCAAAGATTTACCAAGTTTCAATTATTTTTTAGAAGATTTTACAAAATTACAATTATTTTTCCCACAGATTCACCAAATTTCAATTATTTTTTAAAAGATTTTACCAAATTTTAATTATTTTCCAAAGGTTTTACCTAATTTCAATTATTTTTAAAAAGATTTTATCAAATTTCAATTATTATTCAAAGATTTAACAAGTTTCAATTATTTTTTAAAAGATTTCACCAAATTTCAATTATTTTTAAAAGATTTTACCAAATTTCAATTATTATTCAAAGATTTACCAAAATTTTAATTATTTTTGAAATATTTTATCAAATTTCAATTATTTTTAAAACAATTTACCAAATTTTAATTATTTTTAAAAGATTTTACAAAGTTACAATTATTTTTCCCACAGATGTACCATATTTCAATTACTTTTGAAATCATTTTACTGGATTTCAATTATTTTCCAAAGGTTTTACCAAATTTCAATTATTTTTTAAAAGATTTTATCAAATTTCAATTATTATTCAAAGATTTAACAAGTTTCAATTATTTTTTAAAAGATTTTACCAAATTTCAATTATTTTTAAAAGATTTTACCAAATTTCAATTATTATTCAAAGATTTACCAAAATTTTAATTATTTTTGAAATATTTTATCAAATTTCAATTATTTTTAAAACAATTTACCAAATTTTAATTATTTTTAAAAGATTTTACAAAGTTACAATTATTTTTCCCACAGATTTACTAAATTTCAAATACTTTTGAAAACATTTTACCGAATTTCAAGTATTTTCCAAAGGTTTTACCAAATTTCAATTATTTTTTAAAAGATTTTATCCAATTTCAATTATTATTCAAAGATTTACCAAGTTTCAATTATTTTTTAAAAGATTTTACAAAATTACAATTATTTTTCCCACAGATTCACCAAATTTCAATTATTTTTTAAAAGATTTTACCAAATTTCAATTATTTTCCAAAGGTTTTACCTAATTTCAATTATTTTTTAAAAGATTTTATCAAATTTCAATTATTATTCAAAGATTTACCAAATTTCAATTATTTTTTAAAAGATTTTAACAAATTTCAATTATTTTTAAAACAATTTACCAAATTTCAATTATTATTCAAAGATTTACCAACTTTCAATTATTATTGAATTGAATGGATTTAAAAAAATTTCAATTAAAATTTTTGAAAATAATTGAATATTTAAAGCGTTATAACAAGAATTTTAGGAATTAATTAAATTTGAAAAGGGTTTTAAATTGAATTCCTTGAAAATTGAAGGGAAACAAAAGTATAAAAATATTTAAATTTTTGTTTTGAAAAATTATCAATTACATTACTTTTCTTTAAAAATTCTTAAAATTTTGAATAATTTAATTCAAAAATTCTAAAAAAAATAATTTAATTTTGGAAGAATTACAATTGCAATTTTTAGAAATAATTTAATTTTGAACAGTTTTTCATTGAAATTATATGAAATTTCAATTCCTGTCGAAAAATAAATCAGGTCATGTTTTTAATTTTTTGTTTATTTTAAAATTTTTAAAAAAATTTTTGATAAAAGTATTGAAATTTTTAATAAAATTTAATTTAGAAATACCTAAAAAAATTTGTTTCTTGAGAAAATGTAATTAAAGTTTTTAAAAATAATTGTATTTCCGAAAATAATTTTTAAAAATTGAAACAATTGGAAATTTTGTCAAATTTCAAAAAAAAAGAAAAGAAACAAGAAATTTTCAAAACAATTAATTTTATAATTCAAATTCAGTGAAAAGTTTTGTTACAAAAATTTTCAAAAAAAAATACAAGAAAACGAATTGCAAATTTTGATCAAATTTAATTGCAAAGAAATTTATGTAAAAACAGCGAAAAAAAGGTTTTTTTATTTTTGTTTTAGATTTATTTAGGTATTTATTCCATAAACGGGTTCAAAAAATACCATATTATTTATATATTTAATTTCTCTTGTTTCTTTTTTTATTAATTTTATTATCATTTCAAGAATATTATTATTATTCAAATAATATTTGAAATGCTTTCCTCTTATTATTATCATCCCTTTTTTTATTTTCACGTCTCTCTGGCACACTTTACTTCATGTCCAATTGAACTTTTCTTTGTAAAAAATAACTTCATAATGAGCAATGCAAAAAAAGAAACGGAAAATAATAAGCAAATAATGTAATACCTCTCAATTCAAAGAAATTTCTTCATTTCTTATTTATTAAATTCTTTTTGCCCAGAGTTAATAATATGATAAGCAAAAATATTCAAATACATTTTTTTATTATAAAAAGTTCTACTATATTTTTCCTGTTTTTCATTATTATTATTATTATTATTAGAAAATAATGTTATATCGAATGTCTATGGAAAAACAATTTCCACCCTTCTCGAGTACGTTTACAAAAGAAAATTAATAATTAATTTATATTAATAAATTAATTATTAACTTTTTTAACTTATTGTTATATAATAATAATAATTATAATGTAATTTTAATAATTAATTAAAATATTTTTTTCTCTAAATTTCAATAATTTTTTTAAAAAAAGAAAAATTTTTTATAACAGACCAAAACGTTTGTATCTCTTACTCTTTAATTTTTGCAAACACGCAGATCGAAGAATTCAGTAATATAGCAAATAAAAAACAATATTTTCCATTTTTTCATTTTTGTTTATTTCTACAAAAAAAAAAAAATACTACATAATATGCAAAAAATGCAGGAGAATAAAAACCCCAACCTCTCCTCGTTAAAAAAACAAAACAGATATTTTATTTTCGACTGAATAAAAAAATTTTTTATTTCATCACGTACGTTAAATATTGCATTTTTTGGAATTTTTTTTCTTTTATTACTAAAAATTATACTAACGAAAAAATATGTAATAAAAAAAGAAATGGTTGACAGTTTTTTTCTTTTCACTTTCATTTCAACTTTCAATTTTATTTTCAAAGATTTTCATTTTTATACCTTTTCATTTTCACTATCATTTTTATTTACGAAAATTTTCATTTACACTTCGAAATACATTTTCATTTTTTTTCGTTTCTCATTTTCACTTACATTTTTTGTTTACAAAAATTTTTCTTTCCACTTTCACTATGATATAATTTTTTTTCAATTTTATTTTTACTTTGAAAATATAAGCAAAAAATGCAAAAGATTTTCTTTTTGAAATTTAAAGAAAATTCTTATTCCTTTTTAAAAAAATATAAATTTCAATTGTTTAAATTTATTCAAATTATTTTTGGAAATACAATTATTTCTAAAAAACAACATTCAATTACATTTTTTCAAGACACACATTTTTTTGGAATTTCTAAATTAAATTGTTCAAAACTTTAATATTTTTTGTTAAACAAAAATTTAAAAACTAATTTTTATCTATTTTTCCACAAAAATTAAAATTTCAAATAATTTCAATAAAAAACCTCATGAAATTTTATTATTTCTAAAAACTGTCACTGTAATAAATTCTTCCAAAACTCAATTATTTTGTTAGAATTTTTAAATTAAAATGATTGAAAACTTTAAGAAATTTTAAAGAAAAGTAATTTAATTAATAATTTTTTATAACAAAAATTTAAATATTTTTATACTTTTGTTTCCCTTAAATTTTCAAGGAATTTAATTAAAAAATCTTTTCAAATTTAATTCATTTCCTAAAATTCT